CCCCCCCAATTTTTTTTCCTTGGCATACTTGCGACTATGTCACTATGTAGGACTCTGTGTTATATGTCTATAAGACCATTTTATGGCGTTATTTTATGTTATTCTCATCACTGACACCAATGTTAAATTTATCTTAGCATGATAATGATAGTTCACATTAAAAGCATGTGAGAATCAATGACAAATTGGCCTACCAAGATTTCCCACTTTCTAGAAATTATTTGCTTCGAAAGCATTTTGTAAAAATTCACTATTTATACCAGGGGTTGCAAACTCAAATCGTCCGGGAGCCGCAGGAAGTAGAGGTTGAGTGAGACTGGGCCGCCTCAAGTATTCCACAAGAAAGCGTCTTTGACTAATTAAAGTTCATATTGGAAAAGAGCTTTTCACACAGATAGGGACTCTCAAAAAGAAACATGATCCGCTTGAACAGCCTGGAAATCTCAGGGAATGTGGAATGCAAAGCTTTCATAAATTGTCCAAACATTTCTGTTTTTTCATTCACCTCCCTAAACTTAGCCTTGGTTCAGAATTGCACTTAAGATCAATCAGCTCCATTTGAAGCGCCTAAAAAAGAAAAGAAAAGGGTGGGGGTGGCATCATTCACATTGAAGGAGAAAGGGTCAGTAAAAATTGTAAAAGTGGCTTTACTACTGTGTTACTCAGTAGCTTCTATTGTGAGAAATTAATCTCTTGTTTTAAGTTATTGCTCGTTCAAACAATGATGAATGTGAATAAACACATATGAGTACACACAGAATAAAACACGTGTCTCGTAAAGTTAAAAATATCACTCTATCAATCTCCGTCCTCTTAATGTTCTCAGAACCTTTATATATGCGGCGTAAGACGCATTCCAGAAAAGACTTAGACCTTGTTTACTTTTCTGGTCTAACCACGAACATTCTACAACATACTATGAGAACATATTAGTTATGTTTAATTGGTGTCGGCAGTAAACACACTAAGATTAAAGAAAATAGGTCACGCCCAATAAGAACGCGATGCCTACTACATTGACAGCACAGGAGAAACGTGACGTAACCCGACCTACATAACAACTGAATGGTGTGCCCCGAGTCCATGAGTATTTTACATGTTGGGATTGGCAGAGGTTTCTCTGAGAACCAAAACACAAGTTTTGTGTTGAATGGTCAGAGATTGTCATAGGTAAGACTACCCCTGGTCTTGTAACTTCTTGTTGAGTGCATTCAGCTCTTGTGTAATGTCAACAAGAAAAGCCAAGTCCATGAGCAATTTGGGATCAATTAGTACAGGAAAACCACCCCATCTTTTCCATGAATGCTTTGAAGGCTAAAACGTGTTCAAACAGTCGGCAGGAGCAGGCAATATTTATGAATTATTGATGCAAAGGAAGATGCTATTGTAGAGAGAATGAATTTTGATTTTTTTGTAATAGAGGGGGCCTTTTTGACTAAACCTATTTTGAAAGTGACCAAGCTGACAGACACAGTATTTCCCTCACTCGTGAACATTAGCGGCAAGTTTAATACGGATTCTTTGATACTGTATCAGATTGCTAAGATTCACACATTATGGTTGTGCAGTTCCCACTAATTGACTTTTAAAATTGTTCTCAGAATCGCACTTTGGCCATGTTTGTCTCATAAAATGTTATAAAATCAAATCTTTTAGTCCGATTTTAAAACGGTTTTTACCACTATAATCAGCGTTCAAACCTTTACATGCATAATAAAATCAGAATTAGATTAGTAGGTGTGATTCGACTGAAACGGCCGCGGAGGGTCACATCATAGATTTAAGATTGTGAAAAAAAAACGCGCGGGCCCCATAACACTAAATTTTGCTGTCGGGTATCGGGCCGCAAAATATCCTTTTGTGGGCCGCAAATGGCATGCGGGCCGTGAGTTTGATACCCCTGATTTATATGGAAATATTTTAATTTTTTACGAACTTAACAGAAAATTTTCGAACGGATGACAAGACTTGACACATTCACACATACTCTCTCTCTCACCACAAGCACAATCACACACACCGAAAAGATTCTCGTTGGTCCGTATTTTGGTATTTGATATAATAAAATAACGATATTTTATCAGGTCGTTTCGATATCACTGCTTAAATTAAGGAAAAAGTACATGTATTTAAAGTTTTTTTTAAACAATCCAAAATTAATTCACATATTATTTGGTAAAGATAACATATATTAGTTCGTTCTCGGAAATATTTCAGATTCATGTAGGATGTCGGTAACAAAATTGTAGTGGCTCTTTAAATTTTTCTAGTTTTCAGTGAAGAAGATTTTCAAAATGTCTACCTCATCTGCAAATTTGAAAAATATTTTGTTCAAAGAGCGTTTGGTCGTAAGTAGAAAATAAATTGCATCATTAAAATCAAACAGTATATTCGGTTTCAAAACATGGAAATACTGAATTTTAATAAATCTGTATTTGGAAATAGGTAACTACCCAAAAGTCATGGTAGTAATGAAAGATTGTTGACAGTTGATTTGAGTTGATGTTGATGAGCAATGAGGGAGTATTTTTGGGTAAATCTTGGTTGCCGCGAACTTATGTCCTAATTGTATCTCTGGCAATTCTCCGAAGTCCGGTCCCAAATTATTTCGAATGAAAAAAATTGCAATGCACAGTGTCTATTGTTAGGAAACAGCAGAAATGTCAGTCATAGCTTTTGCAAATAACTATCAGTTTACAAACCAGTCAGTAAACACTAAATATTGTATTTGTAATTGGCACATAACATTTGCAAATAGCAGCCGAAAACGTTCTGCTTGTGACTGTTGCGCCACTGAAGGCTCCAAGAAGCTGACAAACAGACCACGTAGGCACGCCAATACTGCCAATACCGGGCGACACGGGTGATAAAATCTGCGGTGTTCGTGTGGTACATTTCTGTGACCAGCCGCGAAGGGTGGGTTTCGGCATATGTCGGGCTTTGTCGTTCCTATGCGTCATTTTCTAAAAATAAATAAGTTTTAGTCTTAAACTCTATTTGCTGAAGAATTCCAGTAACGACGGTATAAATGCTGTGTAATTCTGACCTGTCTCAGACGAACAGTTGGACCGCAAACTGTGGGTAAGTGTTAATTTTTTTGTATAGTGGATGCTAGAATAAAAACTTTAAGACGAGCTAGCTTGATCGCAGTAATTTTGAAAGCATTTATTATTAACATTACTGGCTGTTGCTAGAATTTATGATACTGAGCGACAGAAAAAATCCACATATTATGAAAAAACGCCGGCCATCTTTTTTTTACATAATTTTGTTGACCGGAGGGAGGTGAAATTATTTGGAAATAAACGCTTTAAATAAAACATTTCTAAATCATTGAAACATCTGAATAAATTAAAGTTTTTTTATTCTAACATGAATACACAACATAAATATATACAAGAAAGTATTTTTAAAATTTTTTTTTAGTTTGTACAATTATTCTATAATAAACAAGAAATTGATCAATTTGCAAATATGAACTCCTCTTCAATAACAACAATGTATTTATTAGCTGTTAGCTATTATTAATTATTAGTCTTACATAAACTAAGATTACTAGTTATAAGGGTGTATCTTTAGACTTTTATTCATACTTTATTTAAATTAATGAAATAAATACATTTTAATACTAGTATTTTTACTAGGGACATTTCTTTTATTTGCGTGATTTCATTGCAATCTTTTTTTTTTTTTCAGTCTACCCAAGCCCTAGTTGTTATCCATCCCTGTTTATCTTCCACTGACACTAGTGACACTGCTCTTTGTTAACTTTTTGAAGACTTAACCTCTTTGAAGGAAGTGAAAATGGCTGAAGTTAATATCTGTTAAGAAATCTAGAACAAATTTTTTGTAAGTTGGTATTTTCTGACATAGATCATGAAGAGATAACATTGTCACATTTAGTTTCTGATGTTATTTGGGAGATTTTCATTTTGTTTAATTGTGTTTTGATGAGATTTATTTGAATTTTCAGTTTGCTCATTGTAAAATTTAATATTTTTTATATTTTCAGGTGGACTCACATGCATTTAGTTTCTGATGTTTTTATGGGAGATTTTCTATTTGTTAAAATTCGTTTTTATAAAATTTATTTGAATTTTCAGTTGGCTCATTGTAAAATTTATTTTTTAATATTTTTTATACTTTCAGGTGGAAGTTCTTATGGGAGATTTTCATTTTGTTTACTTGTGTTTTGATTAAACTTATTCACTCATTGTAGAATTTAATTTTTAATATTTTGTATACTTTCAGATGGACAAGGATACAATCTTTGCTGTGGACCATGGATTGCTACATTGCATAGGACGTTTTTTTTGTTTTGTATTTAAATGCACCAGTACAATAATGATGATGAAGATTCATATTTATTTTATATAATATGTTCTGAATTATTGTTTTTGTATTTAAATACTTTATTAAATTTAGATTGTCACTGTCTATTTGTACTGAAGATTTTATTGAATTAGCATTGTTAGTTAAAAAGTTCTGCTTAAAATGTACATCAAAATGTCAACAGATTACATGATATTTTTAAATTTGTATAGCATGATTTTATTAGCATTTGCAATATTTGAATATTCTGTTACATTTGGATTGTCACAAACTATTTTTACTGAAAGTTTGATTACAGTAGCTTCATTAGTTTAAAAGTTATGTATTTAAATGTAAAAATTTCTCGGCCGCGGTTGCTTTTCATGAAATATTTTTTCTAAAATTGCAAACAAATTTCTGATTTGTATTTTATGTATTTTAAATGTGCCTTATTTGTAGATGGACATCATCTGTTTGTATTGAAAATTTTATAGCAATAGCTTTATTGGTTTAGTAATTATGTGGTTTTTTGTAAAATTAAATTTTTCGACAATTGTCGTTATCCACGCCATGTGCTAATAAAATCATTTTTTTTTCAAATATATTAAGTTAATTCACAATTCATGTGTTTTGTTTTGTTACACATTGTATTTTAAACGTTTCCTCCAAATTTGAGAGCTCTAACTTTAATAGCCAAAAAGATACAAGCAAAATAGTACAAAAAGAGTAATAATGTGATCACAGTCTTAAAAATTAAATACAAAGCCGAATATTGGGGAAAAATAAATCACTAAAAAATTCATAACTTTTCTCCTATAAGTGATAGAAAGATTATCTTGGTGTCATTGGAAAGCTTAGAGCCAGCTCTTTCCAATGATATGCTCTTTGTGTATGTCAGATGTTTTTGAAAATTTGAGTTGGAGTGCCTAGACCACGACTAGTACCACTCTGAAAGCGGAGTTTACGTTTCGCTTGCATCCAAAGTCCTTTAATAATTTATGTGTGAATGTCCTGGTCTACTGGATCAACAAATTCATGCGCGTGCACAATGACAGCGTGAGCATAAATCCCATTGTTGAGCTGACCGAAATTTTGATATCCTTGCCCATCGTCCGTGACGATAGCTGTCCCTGGTAACACATGATAGTGATAATGCGCTCGAGTTTTTGTGCATCTCGACGGCCAACAACCTCCATCTAACATCGTCCACTGCCGCTTACATGAATTTCAAAACAGAATAATGCCCAAGACTTTTAAGTAAGGATTAATCATTGGAAATAATTTGGGACCGGACTTCGGAGGATTGCTGTAGCTCTAAACCTATCCTGAACCCTAAACCTATCCCTAACCTGGGTTTTTACCCTATCAGAACCAGGGTTTTGACCATATTCAGGAACAAAACACACAAATGATGTCAGGGTGCTTTCTCTCCAAATTAGCCTATTTTTGTAATTTGTACACTGAGGACATGGGTAAATTGTATGGACGAATGCCACATTTTTATCGAATTTCACGAATGTATCCCTAAATCGATCCCTATGCCTAACCTGAACCCTAAATCGATCCCTATGCCTAACCCTAAATGATCCCTATGCTTAACCTGAACCCTAAATCGATCCCTCAACCTAACCTAAACCCTAATTCACTGCAACTATAATAAACACACAAAAGACGCCGTGGCATCCCTCCTTAATCTCAGCCAGGACATGTAGCCTACAGGCACATTAGTGGTCCTAGAAATTTGTTTAAATTCATCTGACATCTGATGAAATATCAACCAACCTCTTTTTTGGTTCTGGTAGTGTTTGTTGCTGCATCCATATACTGGCATCTGTGCAACGGTTGGGGGAATGGTGTTGCTGGTCTAACAGCTCCCAGCAGATGCCAGGGCAGCCTTGAAGTTTTCAATCGATGTCACAGCGGCATTGTCCAGGTGGTTCCAAGCTATTATTGTGCGTGGGAAGAAAGATTGTTTATACTGCACTGTGTTGCACCGAGGCACAGTGAAGCATTAGCTATTGTATCGGGTGTAATTTTTTATTGTGTTGTCAGTGGTGAAGTCAATGTTCAGTGAGCATTTAGCTCTGATCAATGACCCTGCTTCTGTGGGGTGAGGTACGTGCTTGCTGGGATGGCCAGCACCAGTCCCATGACCACTTTATATAAGAAAATCAGGCGGAGTCCCTCTGGTCTCTCTTTAAGGGATGTCAAACCTTTTTAAGAGGCCAGTGACGAAGCCAAAAGTGGTGGATTTGTAGTCTCGTGTGATGAGTAGCACCGCATTACGTTGAATTGGCTCCATCTTGTCCACGTCTTGCTGAAGGTGTAGTTCCTAGATGATTACACCATATTCTAGTAGTGGACGGATGAGTGCGAGTTATGCTTGATGGTAGGTTTAGAATGTCACATGGTAGTTGGTGTCTATTACAAATTTGTCAGCCAAATTCAGTTTAAAAATATCTTGTTTATCATGAAGAAACTCTAAAGAAAGTTATGATTTTTTAAGGAATTATTTTGGGATAACTCTGAAACAGAAAATATAAAGGTGAATATACTATAATGAAAATTGGGCAGAGAATTTTTGAGAGAAATTCCCCTCCCTGCTTTTTCTTATTTTAAGTTAAAGATTTAATAAACAATGGTATCCAGGGAAGAAATGTAATATCCAAGTTCTCACTTTTTTGAAACTTTAATAAAATTGTTGTGGTAGGATGAACAATAAAGGATGAATATGAATGGAGAATATGAACCAACCAGGAATTTTGTAGTCTATATCAGGATGCCACGTTTGTAGCAGAAATGAAAAAAGGGCGGGCTACGCTGGGCGGGACACTAAGAAAGAATGCCATATGACAGAGGAGTGAAGAGGGTGCACCACCAAAACCCCAGATTAAAACGGCTCAAAGGCACATCTAGTCTTAGATGTATGGATGATGTGAGAGCGGAAAAAGATCTACAGCAGCTGGGAAACCAAGCATGGAAAAGAAAAGCATCAGCTAGGTCTGAGTAGAAGGATGTGGTGATGCAGGCCGAAGCCCGGCTTGGGCTGTAGTGCCACAGGGATGGATGAAATTAATAATTATAAATGCATCTAGAAATGAATTAGGTTTAATAAAAATATAACATTTACAACAAACAAATAATAACCAATGAAACAAGATGAAAACTTTTGTTTTTAAAAATTAAAATCACATAAAATCAGGCCATCACCGGACGTCTCAGGGGGCGCAAAATTTCATTGCTATTTTAAAATAAAAATGACAGAGGTGTGTTGCTACGCGCTGGGAGGCATTTCTTCTGGGAACCCCCAAGCATGCATTTAGTCGCAACCCTTGGCAATGAGTTAACATTATAAAATGGGCTCAAGCTTCGTGGCCTAATGTTATATAGTCATACATAACATAGTCGTACAGATATTTTATTTTTTTTTAACTTTGTAAATTTAATTTTTAAACGTGTCAGTAAAAAGTGTTGCTTGTCATAAAAATCTTCATATTTAGAAAATTTGTCAGCAAACTATAATTCTTTGAGTTTGCGATCCTGGCCATTGCCATTGGAATAACTGTGGCTTCCGAAATTGAAGACATGTGCCGAAACGTTTACTTGTGTATGATGTATAATTATTATTAAAGTGTAACTTATATTGTTATATTGACATAATTTTTTCGTGTCTTATTAATCTATGGCTTCCGAAAGCTCAGTTGGTTTATTATGGCATTGCTCATATATTTGTCTGTTTTTAATTTGAATAGTCAATTGTTATTTTAATTTTTGATCTATGATGTCAAGTGCTCACACAGAAATATAAATAATGTGTTTTATTTTTTGAATGCTCCATATTGTATAGGCCTAAAATTCACCTTATATATATATATAGTGCACTTATCTTTACCCATATTTATAGTATGAAATCATATGATGTGCTTAAATTTAAGGAAAATGATTTTTCAGTTTCTTGACTGTCCATACGTAGAAGATATGGATGAGGCAACTATTATAGAGCTTCTGATCTCTCCTGGGGAAGAAAGGTTTAAAATTCTACAATGGCTATTCTCAAGGTAAATTATGTTTACTGATTTTTTACTCAAATACTCAAGATTTGTAGAAAAAATTTCACACACTAAACTTAATTAGTAGAAATAATTAAAATCTGAAGGACAACCATTTGAATTGTACTAACCAGTATTAGGTTTCTAGAATTTGGAAGACAGATTTGTTTTATTGATAATATCATTTATATAAAACAGCCTTAAGATAAAATATGTGACAAAACTTTTGTTATAAACATTAAATAAAAGCTAAATTCTCATCAGATACGACTCAAAGCTGGCAGAACTCCTGGACCCATCCCAACCATCTTTTGGTGCTAGAACCGAATCAAGAGTGCAAAGTAAATTCTTTAAATAAATTTTACATTTATATTTTCAAATAATTTAATTTAATGGCCTAAAAAAATTTCATGTATAATTTCTTGAGTTATAATATAACCAAATGTTTGCGTGGAATCGCATGAAATGTAAATATAAAGCAACAGGTTAAGTTAAGTTTAAAAAAGTATCAATCATGACCCAGTCAGCTGAAAGCCTTAAATGGTGGATGAAATAGGATGACAAGCAAAAAATTATAGTCTCTATAAATTGTAAATTTCTGGTGACATATCTGAAAAAACAAGCCAATTTTACACATTGATGTAATCCATATCACCCTAGTAAAATGTATGTATTTCTTATAATCAATAGCAGCCATTGAAAGTAGTGGTTTCCTTGTGTGTTGTTGTGATGCACTAGATCTACTCAGAAAAAGTTAGCTAAATTATCTAACTCTTAAGGGGAAAGTGAAAGAGTACAACTGTGCAACCATTATTTCTTCCTTAAAAAAATATATGAAAAACAATACATTTTCTTAAAATTCATTGAGTCCATACGTTTCCATTCGTCAGTTGTTAATCAGGCTGTGTTATTAAAGTGCACACAATAAAGTTTGCTGCATGCACAATACACAATTAATCATATTTTCATTTAGATATTTTTAAACCCCTTTACAACTTCTCTAAAACTGAAAGAAAAAAATATTGTAATATTGTTAGAGCCCTGAGATTAAAATTTTATTATTTCTAACATATTGGCAGCTGTGAAATGATTGCTTGGTTTCACATATTAATTGTATTTTAATTCCTGCTCCCAGCCTTTTCCCTTCTTTTCCTTAACATTCTGTTCAGAAGGTTGGCCACTCATTATGTTACATTTTAATTCATGTACCTTGTGTTTGACTCTTGAAGGTTGGTAGCTGAAATATTTTGTCTACTCTATTCAAACTTAGCCATACTTGTTACTTATCTGAATAGTTTTTGTCTTTAATCAACAAAAACTATCGTGCTAAGAGAAAATTGTGCTTTTAAAGTGCATTAATAGTAACTAAGAATTATTGTATTTTATTCATAATTTTCTTCTAGGGCTGTTGACAGCAGCAGGAGCAATGTGTTTATGTCGCCATGATGATGTAGATCTTATAAGAGTAAGTTGCATTCTGTTAAAACTTTTCTACCTAATAGAACTTATAACTGTGAGTATTAACTTTGTATATGTAGCCTAAATACTTTTTAATCACATGGTGAGTATAAATATTTGTAGAGCCCAATATTTTACTTCCAGTAATATTTTTCCATGCATGCAGTGAGATAAGATTTTAACTAATGAGTAATCCACTTGCATTCCTGTGTAATGTATTCAATTCTCTTCAAAAATGCTCTTTCTCCCACAGGGTGGTGGACCAGTACAAAAACAGCTCTATTTCATTGATAGATTGTTAGATGTGGCATGTATAAGATATAAATCTTACATCCAGGAAAATTCATCAGATTCCAGGTTTGGATTGGCTACGGTTTTCAAAGTTCTCAGTTCAGTTATTTTTATAAACTAGAAACTTATTCAAATTTCTGTGTATAACCACCTATTTTCTACCATGGCCACGAACACAAAATTTTAAAAAAATATTTTTTAATTCATCGCCTTTAAACAACAAAAAAATAATTTTTGGTAATTTTCTAATTATGTTCAAATTAAATGATGTTTTATTTACTATTGCATTTTAAAAAATAAAACAAGAAAAGGCAAAGATTTATACTATGAAGAGGCTTCTCACTGTACAGACACTGTGTAGGGCTTTTTGAGTCCTTGTAGCATAAACAGTTTAGAAAATAAATATTTTCAATTCTGTTACAGATCAAACCCTTACATGCTACACACAAATACATTGGTGAACCAAGATGGATTTCTAAGTATGCTGTCTACCAAAGAAGGGTTTCTGCCCAAAGATATACTAGCAGATGTTGAGAAAATGTGGTCACAGGAAAGCTGGGAGAAAGGAAAGTGAGTACATTTGAACAGTTAGTGCATTGTACAATGAGTGAATACAATTAGTACGTTATACACTGAGTGAATACAATTAGTGTATTGTACAGTGAGTGAATACAATTATTATATTGTACAGTAAGTGAATACAATTAGTATATTGTACACTGAGTTTGGAACTGTTGGTTCCAGAGATGACAGTAAAGCTCAATCAATTTTTATAATGAAATAGTTACATTGTAATATGTCAATCGGGACTTTAAAAAAAAGGTTAGCAAAAGAAAGAATGCATAATTATGAATATGAGATTAATTTTAATGTCCTTAGCTTTTCAATAACTTTATAATTATTTATTAAAATCTGATACAATGTTTATTTTCAGGCCACTGCCAGCTCCTGATTCAAAAGATTTATCAAAGTTGTCCAAAAATTTGAATGAAGTGCTGCAGAAACAAAACAGCAAACTTAGTAGTTTACAAGAACAGGTATGTGTCAAACAAATGGTTTTTGAAAATGGATTAGATGTCTTTTTAACACTTTATATCCACATAGTGCGTATAGCAAAATACCCCTTCTGTTCAAATGTATTTTCCCCCCAGAACAGTGAAACTTAGGTTATATGACATAAAACTTAATAACTTTGTCAAGATAGAAGATAATTATATGGCTTCAGTTAATTTCATTACAGTTAAAGTAATCTGTATCGTTACAGCCTGCAAAATTAACCACAGTATTATCAGCAATTACATTTAAATTCTGACTAATTTTTACCAAAGTGTTATTGATCTGAGTAAAAGACTCTTAATTAAAATTTGAAGGAAAAAAAAAAAAAGACATTTAACAAGCTATTTTCATTTCAAAGTTGTGGTTTATCCATTTAGATCTTTCATGAATTTTTCTTGCCATGTTATATGGAAGCTAACCTATTTCATGCTAAATAAAAAAAATTATCTTTTTTTATAAATGATAATCAGGAACAATGCTAAGATTTTAGAATTTTTGTTGGTATTGTTTTCACACAATTATTAATGTTTACTAAGCTAAATTTTCATAGCCTAGGTACAGTTTGACCCATCAGTTTTCAAGCAAAAGAATATTTTATGGATTATAATATTGTAGGTATCACTACAAGGTGAGGATAAGAACAATGATCTCAAGATGAAGGCGCACACGCTATCAACTGTTCTCAGAGAACTGCGCCAGCTGGCAGAGGGGTTTACCCAGTGCTATGAGTCCAACTTTAGTCCATGGTGCCACAAGCCCCCGCCTGAACATAGTGAGCTGGGAATTTTATTGAAAAGGGTTCACAGCTATTTGCAGAATATGGTCCAGGTAATAATTGAATTGCTATTTTATGAAAGTTGTTCTTTAAAATGTGTAAAAAAATTTTTACATGAAAGTATTTGGTGTCTTTGTCTGCATTCAGTTTCAGTTACTTCCAGGTGAGTTTTTTTGTCCTCATCAATAAATGACTAGATCATTGTATCATGTTAAATTCACTTTTCATACCCTAAATAATTACAATTTACTTGATTGTGATACAGGTATCAAGTTTCTGTTATTTTGTTTCTAAAACCAGTGTGAGAAATGCATAGAAACAGTCAGGTATTCATTTCAAATGTGAAGTGTGTTTAAGTAACCTGTACGTTGGTCTGGAACTAATGCTAACAACATGTCATTTTCAGAATTAGACTTTAAACTTAAACTTCTTTTTTGAACAATTATTCATCCATTGATAGTAATTGTAAGAGTGACAACCTTTGCAAAAACCGTTTCATTTTCAGAATATGCAGCCGCATCTCCTTTAAAAAATTTTAAAATATTTTTTTCATTGCTTTAAGGGACATTTTTTTTTTAGTAAGTTCTTTAAAAATTATGGGTTTTGTTAAACGGAAACTGAAATCTAAAATATTATTTTTATTAAAACATCTGTCATTTTTGACATGTAATGCTTAGTGTTGCCTGTTAGTTGACAGTTATTAGTTTTGATTAACTGAAGAAGAACAAATATCATTATGAATATAGACATAACTTAACTATCATTATGAATATAGACATAACTTAACTAATTATTTTAATGAATAAAACCAAATACTTGTTAATAAGCAAGGCACCTTAATTTTTAATTCTTAAGCTTTATTTTGATTCTTCCTTGAATCTTAGATGTCAATGCAGCATGAACTAAAGGATGTTACAACAAAATGTATGGTTTCAATTTCTTCAGTTACTTACAGATTTAAATAAGATTCGACACACTCAGGGGAAGCTAATCAAACTTTCAAAGCACCAATCAGATGTTCCTTCACATATGTCAGGTAATAGGATGAATCAATTGTGTCAACTGTATATCTTATAATAGTATTGCTGAAAATTACGTGCATCTGTGTTAACAATTTGTACAGTGAGTGCACATTTTGGTTTGTATTTTGCACACTTGATTTGTTAGTGAGCATATTTTGGTTTGGAGACAAAATGTGTGGCTGTTGCTATGCAGTGATGTTTTGGGTATGAGAGATGATGTTCGTAGTTATGATTTTGGTAGTTAGTTGCAGAGAAATAGTGGAAGGAAGAAGGCACGCTGAGGAGTTAATCTTGAATAAAGAACCATATCAAATATTGATCTTGGTGTTGTTACTAATACCCCAAGGCTAAATTAATCTATTGAACTACTCACGCAAAGTTCTTAACAATCTGGATTTCCTTCCCTTTAAAAAAGAAATATACCACAGGAAGTAGCCACTCCTAAACTATATATAATATATATACAGTAATCAGGAGTCACAAACTCTTTAGATCAGATGCGGGCAACCTATGGTCCAGGGACCACATGCAATTGCTGACAAATTTTAATTTTGCACCCAAGATCTTCAGAAAATTTTTTTAATGTCTTTGTAAAATGTACAAATTTTTAATCATTATCTGTAAAAGCCTTTGAAAATAAATTGTTACATAGTACATTTATCAAATTGTAATAATAATAATAATCACAGCTTATTTGAAACATTTTTCACTTCCCATTTTTTTAACTGAATTATTTGTTAATAATTAGCTTACTATAATTTATTGTTCAATTTATTGTCTAGAACTTTAAAATTCCTAGCAATGGGTCATGAGAGCTGCCAAAAAATATTTTTCCATGCAGCCCTCTGCACAGCAAAATTTATAAATTACATGCAAATGGGAACAAATGGTGGCCCAAATTAATTGGTAAAGAAGGTTTTACTTTTTTGTGGGTCTTATTGCTGCCATAATTTTGAAGTCTTACACAATATCATTATTTATTTTAATCCTATGGTAAAATAAATAAAATATTTACCTTTCTTCCTAACACAGATAATTCTTCCAAAGAGATCTCTGTTAGTTTCAAACACTGCCTAAATATACTTGAGGAAACAATCCATAGAGTGGACTCTAACTTCTCATCAAAGTATACTCCTGTAGTTATGTTATGAGGATCTGCGGTATCACCAAGTTCTTAAAAATCTGCACCAAAGCAGCAACTGGATGTCTTGCCTCTCATCATCAAGCTTCAGGTTAATCAATAATTGTGAAACTCATCTGAACCCTCAAGAAACTACTCAAGATTCATACCACATTGAAAAAATATAGTGTACCGGTATATTACCTTTTAAATATTGGTAAACTGATCTACTGAAAAGGAACCTAAAATAAAAAGTAAATTATAAATTGTTAATTAACCTCCTCATGAAGCCAACAAATGGGAAAATAACTTTTTAAAATTCATCCTTCTTCCATGAAATGAATAGTTCTTACCATAGTTTTGCTTCTTGTAGGTAATGATGAGCACTAGTCCATTTTATCTTTTACCAATTTCCCATCTAGCTTTGCAATGAAATGGGTTTTTTTAATTCTCCAATCTCTACTCTTGTTCTTAGCACACACATTCTTCATTCTGCCCTTCCAAATTTTGCATCAAGCACTTTTTTGTCTCAGAAGTTCTTTGGTTTCTTCAATGTACCAGTATTTATGTTACCTTATGTTGTTGAGATTTCAAATTTCTGCGCATAAAATGAATTTATGTTGACTAACATATTTGAGCATTGAGAAAAGTTTTAGGTACTAGAGATTGTTGTGGATAATATGAAACAAAATTGTTTGAATTAACCTGTGAAACTGAATTAAAAGAATTTATGAATAAAACTCATTTACACATCTATGCAGTTGACTTGCATACTTAAAACTATTACAATATTATCATGTGGATTTCAACTCACTCGGAGACCTGGCTTGCTAGTTGAAAAAAATAAAACATTTTAATTAGTGTTGCAATTTTGTTTTTTATTCATAAAGTTATGAATCTTGCGTTCTTTTTCTAAATGTATTTATTTTTTAACTTTGGAGTAGAATGTTCATAAATGAAATGACCTGTCACTAAGACTTACGTAGCTAAGTCAGTTTTGTTTAAGAACAGACACTGGAGCGCTTTACTTTCTATCAGAGTCCCATTTTGAGGCATGAAAATCCCACTCTGATCCATAATAAGAATGTAAAATAATAATCAGGTTCATCCAAGTTTTAAAAATTGATTTCAGAGATTTGATCAAACTTTTTTGGACTCCCTGCTTGTGTGTAGTTGTAAACAGGAAATGAATCATCACCAAAGTCTGGAAAATGTGATGTGCCATTAACATGCAGATGACAACTAGCCAGTAAACCCATGCTATACATTTAAAAAGCATGAGGTAATAAGGTTAAAAAACATATTATTAATGCAGTTAACATGCTTATGTTGTTAAAACTAAGCGTCGGTTCACACTATCAAATTTTCCTTCAAATATTTGATGCAATTCGTGTTTGAAGGCACTATTTTGTGTGCGGATTTATGGACACCACAGAGAAAATTATTTTTCACATTCAAGCAATTGTATGAAGCGATAACCAATCGAAGACAATTTTTTTCTTTCACGTGACTTTACAGCTGATTTCTTAAAATGGCAGCGATTCAAGCAAAGTGCGCTGCGACTAAAATTTTTGAAAACAAGTTATGGTCAAGTTACTCACAACTTGCCATAAATGGATAAATGCCATATTTGATACTCAAAAACTTGGATTAATTTATATTTCACCACCAGAAGCCTGGCAGCTAAGGATTGCTTAGACGATGGGCCCTGACTGCCCTGATAATTTAAAGAATGGTGAGTTGAACTCGTTGTCGGTCATAATAAATATGCCATTGCAGTATTAGTTATTAGAAGGCTAAGGGCTATAAGTGCAATTAGTTTATTCAAATAAATTTTATATTAAAAACTGCTAGGCCTATAAATTAATATAGTCATAGTACTCCTTCTCAAAGTTGACCAGAATTACACCAGAAGCAATATGCAACCAAGGTAGCCAGAGAAAGCTGCTTAACAGAAAACAGAAATAGTTTCTTATCATCATAAGCAAAATATTTCATTACAATCATTATAATTCACTAAATTAATAGATAATTTTACTTTTAGGGTTGAAATAGAAATCTATAAATCTTTAACAGCCTTTCATTATTACTTTTCAAGATACTTTTAAATTTTATATTCTCTAATTCTAAAAAGGGCTACTTACCCCCTCAAAGGCCATTGGCACCGACAGGACAGCTGTAACCATTACACTGGCAGTAATTACCACTGTACCTTTGGGCTGTGTTAGCAAAGTGTAGCACTGACAAACACCACAAATGCATTCTACATTACCAGAGCAGGTGAGCTATTCATTTTTGCTGCAAAATGACAACAAACAAACAAAAAATTTAAATGTCATATAAACCCGATGAGTCAAGAAGCTACAGATTACATTTTAACACATTCAGAGTGAAAATGTAAAGATTAGGAAAATAGATCATAGTTTCTCATCACTTTTATAAAAACAAAATTACCAAATGACAAAATGTCAAATATTTGATATCCACATTTAAAAAAAAGTCAAGTAAGCTTGTTAGTGCATGAAATATTTGATGTGGACATCCAACAAAAATATTTAAAATATACAAATAAGTAAGTGAGTTATACATGTGTATGATTATGTCATTATTAATTTTTAAAAAGTATTTACTCCATTTGACATTGCTCCAGAGATGCTCGGCTGGATATTTCAGATTCATCGCATTCACATTAACGTCCATATCGTCCAGGGTTACAATTACACATGCCGCACTCAAATGTCCCATTGCCATTATTACATTTTTCACTATTCGGGATCTTAAAAAAATAGATAACAATAAATAAGCTTTTTTTAATTAATACTTATAATAATGAAAATTTAATGTGATGTTAAAGCAAAGAATATAACATTATTTCTCCATCAACTTTCTATTTAAGTAGCTGTGGTTTGTAAATGACATAGGCCATGTAGAATAAGACTGCATTTTTCATTAATTTAGATAGGGACTTAAAACTTATTAAAAAATTGGGAGAACAAATGTAATAAGGAAACTCTTTCTCAATCCTCCTTATTTTTAAAGAGAAGTTCAACCTCACCCCACAGAAGCCGGGTAGACTGATCAGAGCAAAACGCTCACTGAACAGTGACTTCACCACTGACATTCCCATAAACAATTACACCAGAAAAACAGCAAATGCTTCAAAGTGCCTCAATGCAGTATCAACAATCTTTCTTCCCACGCACAATAATAGTAATAGTATTGCCACTGTGAATCGACATCGGTCAAAAGCTTCAAGGCTGCCCTGGTATCAGCTAGGAGCTGTTAGATTAGCAACATAATATCCCCAACCGTTGCAAAGATGCCAGTACATGGATGCAGCAACGAAACATTACCAGAACCAGGAAATTATGACAAATTAATATAAATATAACGATAACACTCCCACTGAATACTGAATTTCATAGACCCATTTCACTAAACAATATTTTTAAAAAAATAAAAAAATTATAAATTATACGAAGCATAAAATTTTGATAAATAGTATATTTTATAATTTATGCCCACAGTCTGCAGCCGTTTCATCTCAAAATATTTTTACTTTATGACTATCATTACTATCATTAATGTGTGGCATTGGAATAATTTTTTTAATTTCTCATGATTGTAATCAGAATTATATTATTGATATAATATAATGATAAGGGTTTTATTTATTTATTTCATGCAATAAAAATGATGGATGATATTGGTATTTTATTCATTTAAATGAAATTAATAATAGGTTGAATTGATAATAGAAATACAAAATAATAGTTTGGGCTAATAATAGTAATAATTATAATTACCATTAATTTAAATCATATTGAAATATACATACATTTGTAAATTTGAAAAATTCAAATGATGATAAGATTAAGATGTAAATCTAAACTCAATTTTTTTTTAAAACATATGATTTGATGAATTTAAAATGTAGTGATAGTTAAATGCAAATTAAATATTAACCACTGTATTAGGTATAATTTGGTGTTTTAAAATATCCAGTTTAGGGCGCGGTAGATGAAGATTAGTTGTATTAAATTGAATGAGTTAAAGATGATTTAATAAATAAGATGGCAAAATTGACGACTTTAAATAAAAATGATGATGTATTGTAGGCTATTCCATAAAAATGTTAAGTTGTAGAGAATAATTTTGAAATATTATAAATGTGTGCTAATATCTGTTTCACGTTTGTTTTATTTCAGAAGAAAAAATAAAATCGAAATGGAACAGCATCAAAACATCCTACTCTAGAGAAAGAAGGAAACAGGAGATGACAAGTAAAAGTGGAGCAGGCACTGAGGATGTCTTTATTTCAAAGTGGTGGTTGTTTGATATGTTTGATGGATTTTTGGCACCACATGTAGTCACTAAACAGGGTGTAAAAACATGGTAAAAATATAAAAATAAACTATATGAAAATATAATTGTATTAAATGCATGAATAAAAAAAATACAGGTAACGCAAAATTGTCATGAAAATTTTAAAATCTATCATTTTAAACAAATAAAAATGTATTAATAATTATAGCACTCCATTCTAGCAATAACAAATAATTATTTATATAATATATTGCAACAAAATAAAATACATTTGAATACTTAGAGGATCTTTTTATTATTAGATTAATGAAATATCTCAAATAAATGAAGTTTAAATTTAAAATGCTATATATTTCAATACATAAAAAAATTATTTTAAAAATATTTCTAGTATTGACACATAGTAATTTAAGCACACAGGTGATATATGACACAATGAAGGAATTGTATGTTCCATTAAGTATGCAATAGTTTATTGATTTCCCTCTAACACTTGATTCCACTGCCAACTCATAGCACCTTTTGTACAAAAATATAGGGCTAATTTATCTCTTACAACTTGTGCTTCTTGTACTGGATGTTGTCTCCCCTGTTTGGGCATAGCCCCAAGAATACCTGTTCCCTCGTTCCTACAAACACCATATGTAATATTAGAATTTGTACATTCTGTGTCATCCTGACATGGAGGGTCTGATTCTTTGCTGTTGAAGGCGCGTAGACTCTTGCCGTATTGAAGATAACTGAGCTTGAACTCTGTCAAATGTGTTGGCTCCCAGGACGAAACCCTGTGAATGGACTGGTGGACCCCACGGTGCCAAGCTCTGCCTCAAAGCGGTCCATTTATTCTTCCATTTCCCGTAAACGTTCTTTGCTTATCGACGCCATTTTTGCTTGTTAATGGATTCTCAAAACTGCTGCGCGGCGTCTGTGAAATAGCTGAAATATATATATATATATATTCACTTGTCCGTGGGTTCACTTGTCCGTGGGTTCACTTGTCCGTGGGTTCACTTGTCATGGGTTCAGTTGTCTTAGGTTCAGTTGTCGTAGGTTCACCTGTCGTGCGTTCAGTTGTCTGGGAAACATATATATATATATATATATATATATATATATATATATATATTAATATAGGTATTGCTTTAAATTACTACTACTAGTCGTAGTACTACTACTCTTACTCTTATTACAAATAGTTACACTTTATAATTTATACTAGAACTCATGTCAAAGTCATAGGCTCAGCTAAACTTTGAGACTTCAAATTTCATTCACAATGAATCGTTATAATTAAAATGTTCTTAATAGTAAATTAGTAACAGTAACAGTTTAAATAAATTAACATAGTTATAAGATTTAAAAGCCTTCATATCAATTAGCATGGTTTATATTAAAATTAAAATAATAATAATTAATAATTGCATTAAATTTAATTTCATTAGTAGTAGCTAATCACTTGAGTAATTCTTACCTGATGTAATGTAAGATATCGAAGTCTTAGTTCGGGATAAATAGGTTGTCTCGTGTTAGTTTCAAATTTTTGTATGAAAGGACGTGCACGGGTCAGTAGCTGTATGTATTTTCATTCATCTTCAAAAACTTTTGTAATTCTCAGAATCTGAAAATTTTAATTTTCTTGCCACTGTGTGGCAGGCACATAATTTGTTTCTTTCTAGAAGATGTTGTCTACACTAGTGGTCCCCAACCCCCGGGCCGCGGACCAGTACTGGTCCGTGGATCAAATGGTACCGGGGCGCCCAAAAAACAATAAATTATTTCATTTTATTTACTGTGGTGTATTTCTTGTACACAGTATTAAGATGGTTACACAGAGGAAAATCGCTAACCAGAGTATTTGAATGACCAGAGCCATTGCAAAGAAGTCACCGCTGGCAACACATTTCAGTGACAAGGTATGGGTCGCAAAACTGGCTTACCTATGTGACATAATCAGCCTGCTCAGTGACCTGAATCTGTCCCTTTAGGGTCAAATGACAACAGTTTTCAGTAGTTGCATTTAAAGCCAAACTGGAGATGTGGGGACGACACGTGAACTGAGGCATTTTGGACACGTTTCAAACAGCGGGGACTTTAGGCGTGACTGAGCAATCATTCTCTCAGTTGTTGCACAATCCCCTGTATTTGCTTTTAAAAGTGTTCGAGCGCTACTTCCCAACCACTTAAGACCCACAAACTGGTAAGGAATGAAGCAGCGACCCATTTGTCAACCAATCAGGCGAATCCAGCATGTCTTTACAAGAACAGGTTCAATTGGTGGAGATTGCAAATGACGGCGGTCTTAAAACTACGTTCGAGAAAACAACTCTGCCGGTGTTCTGGATTACAGTCATGTCAGAATACCCTGACATTGCCAGCACAGCACTTAGATCCCTATTGCCATTTCGGACATCCTAGTTGTGTGAAGCGGTGTTTTCTGGAATGAGTCTCCTATTAGCCCCAGATGGAACCGTCTCGTTGCAGAGAGACAAGCTCGTGGTTTTCATTGATATAGCGCTCTAGTAAGTTAAAATGTTATATCACTTACTTTATTTTCATTTTTTGGTAACTGTATTTTATTTTGAATGCCTACAATTAAATTAAAATTATTAAATCAAAAGAATATAAACTATAAACAATCAAGACACCCCCCCCCCGCGGGCCTCGGTAAAACTATCAAACTTTTACCGGTCCCCGGCAAAAAAAAGGTTGGGGACCCATAATCTACACCATAATCTGTTCTTACGATTTTTTCGTTTAATTTTGTCATCTTCTATTGCATAAGCAGCTGCCGTGACAACTGTAATTAAGGCAGTACTCAAAATTTCCAATTCCGATGTTTCACTTATAATAATCACTTTTACAATAGTTAGCAATCATATTATGGTGGTGAGTGGTCACGTGGTTTTCATGTGGAAGTTGCCTTGATTAACAGTAATATAAAAATTTACACCGTAGTCAATGTAAACACACCATCACTTGACGAAATTATATTTAGTGTTGGTTCACGTGATATGGAGTTTGCGTAATAATACTCATATAATTTGCTTACCATCACAATTTGATCAAATTATGATTTGAAAGTTGTGAAAAGGCTTCATACACAGATTGCATCAAATGTTTGAAGGAAAATGTGACAGTAGTGTGAACCAACGCTTAAAGCTGAGAGGTATTTTGTGTTACAAGACTATCTTTATGTTGCTAAAACTTTACAATAGCAACTTTTGCTCTTGAAAATTAAGTGACTCAAAGACAAGTAGGCCTATAATGTGTAATCATCAATGTTTATTTCATAGACCATCAGAACAAAACCATACATGTTCATACCATTATAATTTATTGTCATGTTAACATATGTGTTCTTACCATTATAATGTATTGTCATGTTGATATACGTGTTCATACCATTATAATGTATTGTCATGTTAATATATGTGTTCATACCATTATAATGTATTGTCATGTTGATATACGTGTTCATACCATTATAATGTATTGTCATGTTAATATATGTGTTCTTACCATTATAATGTATTGTCATGTTAAAATTATTTATAAATTTAACACTGACGTGGATGTGAACACCCATGCTGATGGAAGCCATGAAAAATTATTTGTTTTTCTAAAAACAAATAATACATTGTTTTTAACCCAAATAATATATATTTTTTTTAAATCCCTCATTTACTGCCAAGATACAAAAAATGTTCACAGAATATTTTATTTTTTAAATATTTATCCACAGTTAAAAATATGTACATCCAACTTTAAAAAAAAAAATGTAACAACCCTCAGAATAATGTAAGAAACTTTAATAACAGGATCTTCACAAGAACCAGTGTGGAGGTGGGGCTGTCAAAAAGTTTCTAAAATATATTAGTATGGAAATGTCCATTTGTTATTACCAAGAACTGATATTAATAATGTTATTGATAAAATGATATGATTTACAGAAGACCATACCGGTACATAAAATCCAAAATGAGAACAGGCATCGGTAAAATCTCAACAAACATACAAATGAGTATCACAAACAAATTTGGATAAGCTCCCAGCAACATTTCGCTCTAATCTATAAAATGGATGAAAAATGTGCCCTACCTCTATTAGAAATCAATATAAATTTAAATGATTCAGACTCCAAATTGACAGTTAAAATGTAAACAAATTTTTGGAATTACCCAGCAGCCTCTTTTTTTCAGTTGGGATATAATTGTTTTTTTTTTTTTTTAAACGAATTGTAATATAATGATCCATGTGGGTTATAATGTATCCAGGTACAAGGAAACTACTTCATTTGAGTTACTCTTGTTAATTTACAAAAAGCACACACTGAATAGCAAATATATCATCTGTATGAAAAGTTGGAAGCCACTTGATTAAAAAAACAACCTCTTATGTACAAACTAAAGGAAATTTATATATCAACATCCAACTACAAAATTAATTTAATTTTAAAGCAGTATTTATGGTCTCATTATAAATCTGAACAAAGAAGGAAAGAAAGAATCAACTGCAGGGTTCACCTGGTTCAAATATTCTTTTAACTAATTAACTCAAATGCAAACCGTTACAAGTTACTGTTTTTCAGTTTTAGATTTTAAACAAATTGAAAATATTTAGATTAAAGGCAACAAGTATGAGAATTCTATTTTCCAACTTACAAACTTTCCAACAACATGCAATAGGACCTTAACATCTCATCGTAATTTTTTTAAAACTAAAAGTATGGTTAAATTTAAGAAGAATACCCCAAATTGCATATTACTAACAGGTACCAGTAATGCAAAGTCAAATTTTATAATCGGCTAAATAAATATGATGAATTTATTAGAAGATCTAAATTAAATTCAAAACAATTTCTAGACTTTGATCGTAATGCGTTTCTTACTGTAACAGTTTTTGGTAAATTTCAGTGACTTTCTTTGGTAACATTGAATGTAATAAATGTTATTTTATATCGCTAATCGAGACCAAGAGAATTTATTAGAATTAGAAGTTCTAAAGTCAATTCAAAACAATTTTTAGAGTGTATTTTGAACAAATTTTTTAATGTCTACATTACCACCACTCAAGTCAGTTATTTGCAAGGTCTAGCTAAACCTTTTGTAATTGTTAACATTTTTAAAAAATAATTAACCCCTTTTTTTTTACAATCATAATGTGTTTTCTACTGTAACAGTTTTTGGTATATTTCAGTCATCTCCTTTTGTGAATTATATCGATTTGGTCAGAGTAGAGTAAACATAATCAATGTTATTATAGACCACTAATTGGGACCATATTCACATCAACTGAACAAGAATTAGGTCACACCATTAGCTTTCATATAGATATGAAAGAAAAAGGCTCAATACAAAAAATTGAAAATTAATAGCTAACAAGCAATTAATTTTATTAATTCAACTAATATGTTGTTAACACCTATATAGGGTGACTAAAGCAATATGAATAATTGCAATTTTTATCCCCAAAACAGAAAAAAAAATAAATCTGCTTTTGATGTTTAGCAGACTACATGTGTATCAATGATAAAGTAAAACAGTGAATGGATTTTAGTTATAAAACAATTAATAATTAGCCATTAAAACTAGCATATAAGACATGGATTAAATTCTACAAATCTTTTTTAAAATTTTGCATTATTTTAATATGATGAAAACTTTTTAAAACAAATCATCTTAAGTTCTTGATATTTATGAAATTGTTGAAAACTACTACTACCATTCTATGTAAGACTCATTCAAATATTGACTTTTATAAAAAATCAAAAGGGAACTACAAGAAAATTAAAATGGCACAGCAAGTTTATAAAAATAATAACTTTTGATATGGATTATCCATTTTGTTTTAATATCGATGCAAAAAAATAAATGAAGTGGGTCGTGAATGAAGAAGCTTTATAATAATATTGCATTGGTAAACTGTTCAGCTGCTACTTGGCTCTTGTCACTTATTTAAAGCTCTTGCTTTACTTTCAAAAGATTGAATCATTAAGGCCAACAATAAAAAAATTAGTAAAAAATGTTCAATTTTCTTAGGTCTCAGCTTTGATGAGCTCAAATAAAGAATACTTAGTTTTGTTGCAGAGCAATAAGTAACCAATGCTGAGAAGAAAAAAAAACACAACACAAAAGACTACAGTTACAGCCATTACCAGGCTGATCATGATGCAGATCACAAATTGGAACTGATCTCTGGGGATTCCCAATGCTAAGCTGAAACAATTCAATGAAATAAGAAGAAACCTTCTTGCAATGAAATTGGAGACAGTTAAATAGATATCTAGAGATGTTCATTCATATAAATAAGTACTTTTAAATATTTTATTGATATAGTATCATATAGTAAACAAGTTTGAAAAAAAAAAATTCCCAAGCAAGGCAACTGCAGGTGGAGATAACCTTGCCAACTCACTAAGAACCAGAACTTGATACAGAGAGTAATCTTTATCAATCAACAAAATCACAGAGAAAATCTGGTAATGCTGAGCATGTCTTGAATTTATCAAATGAACATGCCTGACCTCTGAGAACTATATTTTAATATGAATGGATATTCCCTTTAGTCTCAACTTACTGTGCTCCCTCGATGTTAAGTTAAGAGTGCATATTATTGAAGTAATACATACAAATAATACGTGAGGATAATTAATTGTTTTTAAGTCTCGAATTAATGTTTATCAGAGAGGCACCTACCAAAATAACTGAAAAATTCGATTATTTTGTACTTAAATGATTCAAGTCTTAAATAATCACAAACAGAAAAAGAAAAACCAAAAAAATCTTGTTATCTGAATTTTTTTTTAAATATCAGATATTCATTCATTTCATAATTATCCATAAAATCAACCATATAAAAGGAAAATAATAAGATAATCCCCAATATATACAATTATTAAATATTGATAAGATCATCTGGTAAACTTATTTAGCAAGGCTAAGCAATTATAGCACAATAAAATGAACAGCATTGATTTAAATTTAAGTGAAGAGCTCTGATTTGTTGAGCTGACATTTAAAAGTAACAACATTCATTTTTTTTTTTTAAATGGAGTACTCATCAACACAATTATTTGTTAAGAATCAATAATTTCAGTAAAACTTAAATACCCACAGAATTTTTCCGTCTTAATAATTAAATGATTCAAATAGAGGTACATGCTTTAATCTTTTTTATAGTTTCCTAGTTGTTGCTGTTGGTAGAATGGGTGTTTGTCCTGGCTCGTACTTACTATATATATATACAGCCCCAATAACCAAACCTGCTCCCAGTGTGAACTCTAAAGAAAGATGGAAGTCAAAGAAGTATATTGACACAATGCATGAGATTATAATAGCTGCAGAAGTTGCAAACCCTTTCAAAATGTTGTCAGCATATTTCACCACAACTGCGACAAGCAGGCCACCGAAAGACTGCAAACAGACGAGAAACCAAACAACCGAGTCGTACCCATTAAAAAATCCTTTCTTTGACACCTCAGCACCATCTTTGAAATACATTGTGATGAGACCGATAACAACACCCAACGCCCCCAGCTGGACATTCCTCAGCCACACCGACTGCCGGGTGCCTTTCAAGATCTTCTCGAAGTAAACGCCAGCAAACCCCGACATGAAGCAAGAGATGATGACAGCTACCAATCCCCAGATGGGATTCTGCTCTGTTGCCACCTTGGTCTTTTTGGTTTCTTCAGGCTGCATCTGGACTATTGCAACACCAACAAATAATATAACTAAAGATATCCACTGCAATCTACTCAGGACCTTCTTCAGTATAACAACAGAGAAGATTGCAGTGGTTAAAATTTTCATTTGATATGTCACCTGTGGAGAGTAATTTCTGAATGTCAGTGGAAGGGGAATCAATAAATATCTTTTTTTTTTAAAACTCTGAAATCTCTTTTACTTGTGCAACATAAAAAATAATGTATTATATCATAGAGTCCAATCTCATTTAATTAATTTTTTCTATTCAGTTCCTGTATTTATAATAGAGCATTTTTCCATATTGTCTGTACATTCTTATGTAAACAGTAGAATTTAATGTTTGAATTAGGTGGATGTCATTTACCTGGAAGGTGGCAGCATCTAGATTGGAAACAGCTACATAAAGTAGGTTGTTCTGTAGAACATATATGAGAGATGGAATGGACACTTTGAGACAGTCCAGGGGTTCAAGGAAAATGTCTTCATAAAGCAGCTTCAACCACGCCCTTACGCCTCCAGTCTGAAACAAGGAAAATATTTATTTAACTTAAGGCAGACAATCTATTAGAAAGAAAACTATTTATAATACTTTGCTTCTATGAAATATCATTGCTAATAATAAAAGTCAAAATGCTTTTAATATCCTTAAAGAATTATATTACAGTATAAGTTTTGTTTTAAAATAAAAAACAGTTTCATATGCACACACAAAAAATAAAAAAACTAACCAATGTACCTTAACCCCTATTTTATAGTTCACATAACCAAAAAACTCTTGATGTGTTAAAGTTAAAGAGATGTTACAAATCTAAACCATTGTCATAACATGCATTTTAATTTTTACAAGGTTGTATTGCAATAGAGACATGCATTTAATTACCTGTATAAGAATTATAAGAAGACAGGCAAAGAATTTGAAAGCCTCTGACATAATAACAGCAGTGGTCGCCCCAAACATCTCCCCCTCTCGTGTGCGCACATATCGCATAACAAGGATGAGTAACGCATTTTGCAATGTCAGTAGGATGAGGCTGATATACTTTAGGCTTTCTGGCGTTTTCTGTGGTCCAGGACTTTTGGGCTCTGTAGGGTTGTGAGATTTAAAAAAAAAAATAATGTAATAATATTTTATTGTTGATGCTTTTGTTTTAGTGGTTCTCAAAGGGGGCGGTACTGCCCTCCAGGTGGGGGGGGGTGGGGGGGGGGGGGGGTGTTAAAATGTGCAGTAGATTTAGCTAGGTGTTGGTGGATTATCAGAAAAGCTATTGTTAAATTTAAAATAATTTATAAAATGTGTTTATTATGAGATGGTGACAACCTGCTATGTCAAGGTGACAACCTGCTATGTCATGGTGACCATCTGCACTGTCTGGTGATATCCTGTTATGGTGGCAACCAGATTGAACCTAATGACTTCTGTTTTGAAAATGACCTGAGTGACTACTGTCAAATTTACAATTTTCCATTTTCTGCCAACCCGTATGTGGTTGTCACCCAAAGTGGCCTAATGATGCTATTCCTTAAAAAAGATTGAACATGGTACATAGAATTGTGTCTGAGCGATTTTTATGATTTTGTTTAATTCAAATTTTATATTGGGGGATAAATCGATTTTCAGTTGCAGATGCATTTTGTTAATTTTGATGAATTCAAAGCTGAAGCCAAAGCTAAAAAAAATTGTACGGTATTTAGAGTTTCCGCTTCAGAAGAAATGTTCATGCTATTATTATGTACTGTGGAAAGTGGTTAAGAAGCCCTGATTTGCTTTAATCCAAGCAAAGGAATATAATCCTTTTTTCTGAAAGTGTTGGATTATGAGTGGTGTTAAGTTGCCTCAAATCAGATATGGAACTAATCGTATCATCTTACTAAGCCCATCCAAAGCACACAGTAACCAAATTTGAGCTATGTTCAGTTACAAATAACACTTTTACACTCTATAGTATTATCTTCCTTACGGATTTGTGCAAACTACTGTCCTGAAATAAAACTCAGAGGTAACACAGGGGGGTGCTAAAGATCGATTTATGGTGCCAAGGGGGTGGTGGCTGAAAACATTTGAGAACCACTGATTTAACCTTTCAATAAATAACATATTGGTAAATATAAATATTTTTGTACTGACATTGAATCGTTTAATTGTTAAAAGTTTTATAATGCATAAAATCTATGTCTTTGTAAAAAACTGAAATTTACAGACTGTATTTTTTCATTAGTAATTAATATTAAAAAAACTGATATATTTGAACATGCTTAGACAATAGTCACACAATATTTAGTTCCTGGTTATATATTCATTAAAACTATTTTCTATTACAAGGCACATGATCAATGCTCTTCTGATCACAGGGTTAGCAACAAAAGTATAATTAACGACATCCATGCTACAACACTCAGGAAGAGAAATGTATGCATGCACACAAGACTTTTTAATCATTTGATTTTAAAATAAAGACTGGCAAAAGGGCCTAAGGAAGCTTGACTTTCAAAATTTTAATGCTGTTTTAAACAAATGTTTAGAAGTGAAATTCCCTTGCTTAATTGCCAAAAGTATCTTTATTTGAAAAGATTGTTTTACCGTACAGAATAACCATTAACACTAACATTATCTTTACTGACTTAACAGTGTTGTTTAAGTCTGAAACAAAAATTATGAAACTGGTAACCCGGACCATTGCCAGGTGTGGCATAAAATAATAAAAGGCATAAGCCGAGAATATATCACAGCATACACATGATGAATTTTGCACCACTCAAAAGGTTCAAGTAAAAATATTTTATTTCACTAAAGTGTATTCAAGGATGTTTTTAATATTTTTTTACATTTTACTTCATGCTAGTAACATTTTAAGAATTGTGAGTAAATTTGTACCCATGTTTATGGCCCTGCATTTTTTTCCTGTTAATAAAATTTTAAAACCACTGCTTGTGTGTACTTCATTGCTTACGAAAATTGGGATGGATGCACAGTCAAAGTGCAATCATGATACAAGGAAAATATGAATTATTTAAACCAGAATACACTTAATGCATGACAATCATTTGCTGCAGTTATAGAATGGACCTAAAATTTTGAGCTTTATCATTCAGAATCTTATATAAATATGAAATTCATAAATTAGGTAATACTGAGGCAAATTCAGAATTAATTGGGCATGGCAAAATTACACATTTATATTAATGTTAGGCATTTCTTTAATGCAGGATTTGGGTGCATATTTCACTTCCTTACCAAAATTAACTATAGGAGCAGATATACAAGGTTTTTAATGACGTATTAGACTTTGGGACAAAGAAATAAAATTATTATTATTTTTGTTTAAAAAAAGCTAATGCTCTTCTGCAATATTGCTCTCTCTACTATCTCACAAAAGTAGGTTGGGTTATTTTATTGCCTTAAATTTCTTAAATGATGTGAAGACCTGTCAAGTCCATAAAATAAACAGTGTATTATGAAGGATATTTAAATTATAAGGTTCATTATGACTTTTTTTAATCCATAAAAAAAGACTTAATTCATGAGTAACACCAAAAGATATAAGAATATTTATATATATATATATAATACATGTGTCAAAATTTTGTTCAACAGAGATTTTTAAATTTAATAAAAGAAAAAGCCAACAAATAGTCACAGTCAAAAATTAAAAAAACAGGAGTAGAAATTATCACAAGGGAACTATGAATGCTTTTACAAATAATATTAAAAATAAGCAGGAAATTTAAATACAAACAAAAAAAGAAATGAAGCTAGCCATTCTAATAAAAAAAAAAAAAAGAATCAAAGCTAGCCATTCTAACAACAAAAAAATTAAGTTACTTGAAAAGTTCTCTGAAAGCTAATTTATTTACTGACTAAATATAACTAAGTATAACATAAAACTCTATGATGTCTCTAGGGATTAATAAATTTTAAAAAATTTCTTTTACTGACAGAAAAAGAAGATGAAAGCAATTAAAAGAGCTTTTCGAGTTGAGACATGCCACACAGTACATGCATGATACAATCTTAAAGTGTAATCTTTACCTTTGTATTGTCCTAAAACATGAAGCAAAAATAAAATATTTTGTTTTAATAAATACTAATCCTGAAATCAGTTTCTTTTTATAAAAGAAAGAGCAAAAAATATTTTAAAAAACTGAATTATTTCAACAGAACATATTGAAAATGCTGTAGGTGAATATTTTATGAAAAATATTAGAAAAGACACTGAGTGCCTTTTACCTTTACATGAAAGATGAACACCATTTAATTTGACATTTCCGAGTCTGAATAGTGTTTCAAAACATAATTTTATTACATTTTTTAATAGCACTGAGCCGGGTAAAGTTTTTTTAACATCTGTACCATATACAGGTATTCTGAGACAATCCATGGGGGGTCTGAGTGCGGGTGTTAGAAAAAAGTTATCTTCGCAGTTCTATAACGTCTTCCAACCAATGGGGAGAAGTGAAAAGTGCATGTATGGGTTGCAACCATTTAGGGAAAATGATATATTTTGGAGAGAAAAGAGCAAAATAAGTTTGTTCATATCATTTCACTTTCATGTCATTTGTGGTTGTCATGGTTTGGCTAGGTAAACATGGATTGGATGATGATACGGTCAGTTGAAATGAAAAATGTTATTCCGATTGAAAGAACAATTTTTTTTTAAAATATATTATTAGGTCTGTTCTAATTAGCCTTACTTAACTTTCTAGAATTGAGTTAAGAAGCAACAAAAATGATTTTTTAAGACACCCCAATTCAAAAAAGTAAGTGGCGTCACAGGCAAACTACTACTCTTTTTTTTTGTACAAACCTCATAGAACCAGTAGCAATCACGAAGGCATCCAAGTTGAGGCTTCAAAACACTAAAAGCTTAATATTATTATCTTATTATCTTAGCCCACAGGTTCTCAACCTTTTGAGTGCTGCGACCCCTCTATAACAATTGCCAAATTGTGGCAACTCACAACCAGAATTATTCCATGAACAATGAAACTGAGAAACTTTTGTTGAGAATGGTGAAGGAGAAGAGCTTCTTTTAAATATTAAAAGGTGTTGGAACTGCAATTTTGATTGGGGGTAGAGGGAAGCAGAAATAAGGGCTAAGAAGTGTGGTGGGGTCTGTTAGGGTGGCTCTGTAAGTCAATCCCCAGATAACTTTTGATAAATTCACAAACCTGTTCATAGTTTTGCATGGGATTACCAACTTTTAAGTTTAGGCACAAAAATAAAAAAATTAAACAAAGACAAGAAAAAAAATTAAAATCATAAGTAATGTTGTTTTTTTTAAAATTCACCTTTAAACACTTTGTTTTATTTAAACGAATACAATTGGGTCAGTTGGAAATCCAATTCAGCACGAACTTTTTTCCACATTATGTCATCATTAGACATTAACATAAACTATAACTACAGTTGTGGAATTATTTGGAATAATAAAGAGCATTCAAGATACAAATGTGTAAGGAAACTCAATGTAAATCTACACTTGATAATGTATGACAGACTTTTCAAATAATTAAATAAATGACCTACACACAATTTTTACAAAATTATCTTTCCTAGAAAGAGAATTATATAAAACCAGATTTCAACAGAGTCAAGCAGAAGTAAATCCTAAAAAAAACATTAACATTTTACAGATTGCAAAAGAAATAAATATCACTTAAATTAAGATATAAAATTGAGTTAGACAAAAATTTAATTTTTAATGCTGCATTTAACAAGACCCAGAAAAGGCATAGAACCCACAACCCATGAAAGAAACACATTTAAAAAAAAAAATAAAGATTCCATTTTCTGATTGAGCTTATAGCATTCTTTTATAAATTATGTAAGAGAAAAAAATCCTAAAAGGCAATTCTTTGATGTCATGTAGCTACCATTTTAATTTTGTATCCCTAATTAAAAAAATGTAATACCATATTTCGGAATGGTTAAAACAAAGATCATCCAAATTTTAAAAGATTCAAAAGCAAGAAGAGACTAAGCTGTGTACAGAATCTCAGCTCTGTAGTTTTCTTCTAGTGAGAGATGTAAGCAGCGGAATGTGAAGATCAAAATACATAAAAATTTATTACAGAAACAAATACAGGGTGAAAAACAAATTCAATAAGTGCATTCCACTGCCAAAAAAAAATGTAAAAATCTGTGCGTATCCGGAAATTTGATCGAAAAAAATTTCGTCGACGGTAAATTGATCGACGGTAATTTGATCGAACGGAAATATGGTCGAATCTTTTTTTCCGTTTTTACGTTTAAATTTTGCTTCAAATGTCTTTTTGAATGCATTATTTTGTTTTACTATACATTTAAGTGCGTTGAAAAAGAAATTTGACGAAAATCTTAACGTGTGAACTGAAAAAAAGATTCGACCAAATTTCCGGTCGATCAAATTACCGTCGACGAAATTTCTTTCGATCAAATTTCCGGTAACCAAATCTGTGAGGTTCCAGCAAATAGTTTTTGAAAATATAACAGAGTACTGACTAAAAAATGCAGGAAACATTTGTGGAAAATAGAGATAAAATATGTTGACTATATATATTACATTTAGGAACTAATAAGCATATTGATTTCAAGCAATTTACTTACTGGAATCTACAATACTGACATCTGCATAGTAGTGATGCATAAAAATAGTATCATTTCAATTATTTTTTTTTTAAAAGTACTTCTAAGGCCACTGCCAGTATCCACCATATTGTCTTATATATGGTCATATATACAAAATACTGTCATATAATAGTCATATTTACTCAGCCATGTCCTATATTAGTAATATTTACATAGTACTGTCTGTATCTTGAACATAACACTATAAATTTTAATTCTGTTTTTCGGAAGAGCCCATATACAATTGTGTTGATCACACATTAAAGGAAAAATAGAAAAGATGTAACATTGTATTACTGACCTAAACCCTCTTGAGGACCTTTCCTGTTCATGGCAGCAGAGCTAGGTTCTAAGCCCAGTATGTGATCGTCCTCAGCATCAATTAACGGAACTTTGAGTTCTTGTGACATGACATTGCTCTCTACATATGGAATAAGAGGAATTGTATAACTGAGACAAATTTAACATTATAATTTATGTTAAAATAAAAGGGATGACTATAATAAAGTATAATTTACAGTAGAGTATCACTTTTCCATGACTATCATTAAAGTATAATTTACATTAGAGCATCACTTTTCCAAACGCCAACTATCTAAAATGCTGTATATCCGATCAACCTCTTTCTTATTATTTTCTTACACAATGTGCTCGATCTGGAACATTTGTTTAAAAACTCTGGAAAACAATGCTGAGCCCTGTCCCATAATCCAAGTAATGTCTAGATAGATATGTACTGTAAATGGGGTGACCATACTGGGATAAAGTTATCTGCAAACGTGTTAATTAATTTATAGCACAGAACACACGGATGCAAAGACAAAGTGACCTCGATTTTAGTCTCAGCAACAGTCATGTATTATTGGAAACAAACTGATTTTGCTGACAAAATTCTAGTCCTTACTGGTTTGTGACATTGATAAGCTGACATCGTGTGATACAATTAATACACTGCACATTAAGGCAGTGTTACTCAATGTAGCCATGTCCGTGCAACCTTTTTGTGTAGTAGCAGTGTTCAATTCTCCAAAAAATTAGTTATCCTGGTGTTACAAAAATGCCACATTAAAATTTCATTTGTTCATACCTCATATAATCAATCAGATCTTAGATTTAAAATGAATATATAAATTACTACCGGTATTTCACTAGGACTATTTAATATTAAATAATTTTTTTTTTGCCGACATCCGCCCGTCACAATGTGACGATGGAGTGGACTTCGCAGGACGAAATCCACAAGGTCTGGGATTATTCTTTTAGGATTATAAGCTAGTTCCCAACAGCTAATTGCTCATCTCCACGCCGCTGGATAATCTAAGGGAACATTGTGTGGTTTGGCACCAGTGGCGCGAGTTGTCGGATCCTTTCAGTGTACCAATTTTATCACCTACAGGACTCCATCTCCAGGTTTGAACTCAGATTTTCCTTCTCTTAGATGAGTTACTATCCAAGGTTTACAAGTCCCATCCATCCGGGGTGCTGGTGATAATGTTGCTTGACTGGACTTTGGTGGGGATTGAACTCCAGACCAAGACCTTGAAATTTGATCAGTTTAGACCACTCAGCCACCCACATATTGAATTAATATGATGCTTATTGGGATGGACGATATTCAGAGTGGAAACCATCCTAACGGTAGTAACCTCTTAAATAATATGACAAAATATCTTTTTTTTTCAAATACCAAGTTTAATTTAAGGTAGGATAATTATTAGAATTTTTAGGTAGCATTGTAATTGATTATTTGATGTATTTCAACAATTATTTCAAACAGTTGAATGACTTTTAGTGAGGTATTCCTGTGGGGCAATGTTAAAATTTTTCTGATTATTACGGGGTAAAGCATTTGAATTTCTTTAGAGAGTCATCCCCAGCTATGGTTTTAAAATGGATGATAAAAACTGGCCAGCCTAATGATTAAAATTAATTGTTATTAGTACTAGAATTAAGTGTCTTAGTCTTAAGTTACAGCTGCTGGAATGAATCAGGGATGAAAATGCCCCCTTTGCCTTTGTTGGCCTTAATTTAAGGCTTAAACTAGTAAAAGTATATACTATTATAATACAGAACCTATAGATAAGCCTATTACTTAAACTTAAAGATGGTCATAAATCATAAACAAAATTTTTTGAACTAAATTTAACAAAGAGTTTAATTACAAATTTTTTTTCAGTTATAAACAATACACCTTTACAGACTTCAGTCTTTTACTTTTACTCTTACTAACATCAAATTAAAAAACGTCATAAATATTTGAATAGTTTCAGTTTGGATTATATAGTGTGAAGAACTGTTCTGTGTTTGAACAAATGGAAATGCAGTCTCCCCAAATGAAATTAATGCGAAAGGCACAGAAAAACGTTTACAATTGACAGGGCCAGGGTGCACCGCATAATCCAAATACTGTCTGAAAACTCTTCTTAACTAATTCTGCTTACTCTACTTTTAATTTTATTATCAAAAAGTGAACCCAAAAGTAATAAACACAGGGATAGTATGCCTACAGCCACAGTATTCAGTATACATGGAATTTGGAATAGGAATGCACTTTACACATTCACATAGCATAGGTAGGTCAGTTAATAAAAAAATAGTTAAGAAGTTAGTGAACTAAGTCAAGTTGCCTTTTTAAGCTTAAACGTTGAATTACAATTAGTTGAGACTTCAGTTTAGGCCTGTGTCTATACTTATGACGTTATGTTTACTGATGTTGATGATTAGCTCGAGTTGAGACTGTGTATTGAGTATAATATAGGTATAGGGCATAGGGTATACCTGAGTATAAGTACTAAGTATACTCTAACTTCTAAGTCTAAAGTCTTCTTAAATTTAGTCGCTTTATTACTGCTGAAAAGTTTAATATTCAAGAAAAGTGATTTGGCTGTCAAGTAAAGACTAGAAAAATAAGTAATGAAATTTGGTCACATTTAACCCGAGTGTTATACTTTTAATAGCTCAAGGGTAAGTCCTTTAATTTGTTACCTTTTGCATAGGTGGACAGAATTCAATAGTATCAATCTTTAACGTGGCACCGTAACCACAGAACACAACTTCCTACTTCCGTAATCGGATTTGCACATGCGCGTGTTAATTCAATACGATCAGATCGATCACTTTAACTGAAACAAGTACATTAATTTTATACGTATTTATTTAAATTGGTCAAGAAAATTTTCTTTTCTTTTAAATGTGTGTGTGAGAGGGGTGGGGGTGTTCCGAAACATTCTTGTACGAACGCATTGGGGAAGTCCAAAAAGTACGCATGGAATGGGGTGGTGGAATACTTGCCTTTTTTTTTTTTT